CAGCAATAGGCCGAATACCACCACCGCGCTTAACAAGTGGCGTGAGAGGAGCACTAGCAATATACTCCCCCAACTCAGCAGGACATTTCCCTGCGAGAAAGAGATTAACCACCTGCGTAATAGAGCCCACCAACTCATCTGAAATAGCAACTGCAGCACCACTCAAGCAATCCAGAAGGTGCTGAGCACGCAAGCCGTCTCTACCGCATGATGTACCATGTGGAAAACCCCTAATCTGATCCAAAACAACAGCAGATAGCAATAAAGGGCTGATCAACGGGGATATCCGGTAAGATAGGAGCCAAGAAAATTTTTACTTTTACTACCACTAAAAAGCACCATTTTGATTTTTGCTACCTATCTATTTTTTTTTTTTTTACTACCACCAAAAACTTAAAAAAAAATTGCTACCACTTAACGGTTTCCATTACGGGTTTGTTATTGAATTTTTTTCTCGATTTGCGTGCTAAAAAATGTTTCATTAAGCTTTTTGGGGGTCATTTTGGACCTTAAAGGTTCAAATTGAGATCAGAATTGGCAAAAAAATTACGTGGAAGTGCCTTATTTTGCATGTCAAATTAAAAATATATTGATTTACGTGTGACTATTCTTTTTGCCGTGAACATTGGTCGGGTAAGGTTTTTAGTGGTCATTTTAACCTTTAAGGATCCAAATTGAGCTCGGAATTGACAAAAATTTATAAATGCGTCATTTTGCATGTATAAAATGACATTATTAAGCTTGAAATTTACATTATTGGACACGCAAAACTAGAGATTTATGTTAATTTTTTTTCAATTTCGAGCACATTTTTGGCCTCCACAATTGCCCCCAAAACCTTGTCTGGGCAATTTTTGCGACAAAAGGAATAATAACATGCAAATTATTACACTTTTTGCCATGCAAAATAAGGCACTTTTGTTTTTTTTTGTCAATTTCGAGTTCAATAAGATTCTTAAGAACCAAATGACCACTAAAAGTTTTAACAGAACATTTTTCGGTATGTAAATCGAGAGAAAAAAAACATTTAATTACTGACGAGTGGGCCCTACTAACAGTTTCTTTGACATTAACTGTTAGTGGGTAGCAAAATATATATTTTTTTGTTTTGGGTGATAGTAAAAAAAATTAAAATTTTAGTTAGGTAACAAAATCAAAGTGGTGCTTTTTAGTGATAGTACGTATAAGTCAAATTTTCCTAATAATAATTATAATGCATAATATTAAAATAGTATTAATAGTAGTAAATAACTATAATTATATCAAAAAAGTAATAAGTATAAAAATAAAAACTTGTTAAATAATTACAAGAAGATTCAATGCAGATCAGACAAATTAGATTAGATTAGATAGACAGGAAACATTCAAATTAGCCCTGACCCGAAGCATTCAAATCATATCATAAATATTCAGATCAGACCAAACTTATTCTTGCAATGTCCAGACCAAATCACCTTATTTCAGGTGAAGAGAACAAGTCCTTAAACCCATGCATTGGCATGTGTACAAACTATTTTTAACAAAAAACTTTTTGTGAACACCCAATTTACTATAATATTAGTGTACATCGAATAATATTTGGGCAACTTTTAGCCAATTTGAGATAACTTTTTGCCTTTTTTTTTTGCTAACCTTAAACTTGATACAATTTTAATGTAAATAGGCAACTAGATAAGGTTTATAATAATAATATAATTACTTTCAGTAATTCAATCACTAAGATTTGATTTTCACTCATTTAAACTAACCTATAAAACATAGATAACTATTATTTGTATTAGGTTACTTTTATACATGTTAGGGTAACTTCATTCATTTTAAGGGTAAATTCTGATCATATTAGGAAAACTTTACAACAAGTGTATAGTAATTATTATACACTCGATTTGTTTAAAAAGTTTGTGTTTCTTGAAAGAGAGTTCGATTTAGTTTAAGAGAACGTCAATTGTTTCACTTCATTAAGAGACTAAGAGGAAGGGGGGAAAAGGGAAAGGTTAACATCCTTAACCTACAGGTCATCCACCATCTAATATGTTATCGAGTACTCTGCATAACTTCCACGAGTGCATTGTGTAGATCATCAAAAAAGAAACCAAAGCTTTTTCTGGTCGGTTACCATTTTCTAAGTAATCGAGTCAACTTGAGTTGAGTTTAGACTTGTTCAACAAGTTGGGTTCGGGCTTTAATTAAATGGGTCGGGCCGAGCCAGGGTTAAGGCTAATTTGAAATGGGGCGGGTTGGGACATGAGTCATAAGGCCCAGCCCATTCAAACTTTGAAGACAGAAAAAAAAATCTAACAATGGTAATACTGCACAAAAATCTAGCTGGTCCCTTTGTTTTGAAAATGAACATTTAATATAACAAAAATGATTGCACCAAAAAAAAAAAAGGAAATAACAAAAATGAACATTTTCTTGCTATAGGATATTCATTCTTATAAAATTTAAATGTTCATTTTCATACTATATGATGTTCATTCTAATAAAATTAATGGTTATTTTCACTTTGAATTAATATAAATTTTTTTATTTGCTCAATTGTATAAAATGTTCATTTATATGTTAAAGGATGTTCAATTGACATTAGCATTAAAATAGTTAGACATAAGCATTTTGTTCATCGTTGAAAAACATATTGTTGATTTATTCAATTGGTATCAAATCATACATTTCATCAAATTGCATGACATTTTTTCAACAGAATTGAAAAAAATCAAGATAATTTCTTTTTAATAGATATTCTTTCAACTTTACAAAGCACATAGTTACTTAAACTATATTTTGTAAAATAATAATAAAAAAAAAGAGTTGGATGTTCAAATTTATTAAAATTATTAATGTTCACAATTTTAACAATATATGTTCATAATTGTAGCACTATTTTTTAAAATCCCTACTACTCATACATATCTAATATATATGCAATGAAAAGTACAAATGTTATTTTGTTCATATTCGTATGAGTGAATGTTCAATTGTTTGTATACATTATATTTAACGTTTACGCAATAAAAGTGCACATGTTATTTGTATACTTTCGTGTAAGTAAATGTTCATTTAATATTTGTATGTATTATATTTAATGTTAATAAGTACAATGTCAAAATATGTTCAATATAAAATGTTTATTTTTATTATATTAAATGTTCACTTTTCAAATGAAGGACCAGCCATAAGACCAGCAAAAAATGTTTTTTTTTTTCTAGTAAATGTTCATTTTTGTTGGGGAGGACTAGCCAACTAAAGTAAGAAGATGTTCATTTTTGTTAGGTTTTTTTTTTTTTGGAAATAACCACCTACTATTATTGTCGTTTTAGTAATTACCACCTACTATTATTGTCGTTTTAGTAATTACCACCTACATTCTTATGTTCAATGATTTTTTTTTTAGTAATTTTTTTTGTTTGTTTGTGTATTTTACCACCTACTATTTTTAAAAACATGAAAATTTTCCACCAAATTTTCCAAGCCCTCATATATGACGTCATCATGCCTTCTTCCTCGATTCTCATGTTCAATGATTTTTTTTCAATATAAATTAAAATTAGATTAGGGAAAAGCATTTAGTAGTCGATTTAACATAATTCCAGCTCACACGAACATAATTAAGTCACTAATATGTGTCAATTATAATTTGTTCTTCATTTAGGGTTTATCCCAAATTTGGGGAATTTTTCAAATTGAGATATTTTTCAAATTAAGCATTATTTACATTGATTAAATCTATATAGAACTAATATATATGCTCAATTTAGGATTGTAAATCATAATTTAGAAAAATGTTTGATTATAAAATATCCCTACAATACATATGAACCCTAATTTTTCATATCAATAATTAGTAATAATTTCTTAACAATAATATCAATTTCAGTATTAATTGAAGACATAATACGTTTTATCGATGCAAACTAGTCCCAATTTCATAAATTAATCACAAAATAACAAACTCCTAATTTCATTTCAAAACCCTAAATGATGAACACCATCTTATAGTTAGCCCCAATTTGTAAATTAGGTACCTAATTTACAAATTTGTTTGCATAATTTGGATTTGCAATTCAAAAATCGAAAAACAAGGTTAGAAAAAGGAATAAAATTAAAAAAAAAATCCGTTGGTGGGGCCCAAAATGACGTCATGTAGGCAATCAGGTGGGAAATTATCATTTTTTTTAAAAAAATAGTAGGTGATAAAATATAAAAAAAAACAAAAAAAAAAAAAAAAAAAACTGTAGATGGTAATTACTAAAACACCAACAATTGTAGGTGATAATTGTTAGAAAATCCTTTTTGTTATAGTAAATGTTTCTTTTCAAAACGAGGGATCAGTTGGTCTCAGTAGGGGTGAGCAAGGATCAGATATCCGTATCCAAAAAATCAGATATTTGATATCCGTATCCGATCCGAAATTTTCGGATATCCAATATCTAACCCATCTAATAATATGGGTTTTTTTTACACTTTAACAATTTAAAAAATATATATACATAAATCAAACCTTGCAACTTGCTATCAAAATATCAATCATACACCATATTCTTATCTAGTAAACCCCCAAAATTGAAGAAACTGACTAGAGAAGAGGGGATTCAACAACCAAAATAAATAAAAAAAAAAAAAAAAAGGTTTCAAATCAAACCCATTGAAATTCAAACCATTAGTCAGATACGAAATTTTCATTAATCAGCATAAAAGAGAAGATAAGGGGTAAATTATACAAATCAGATTATTAACCAATTCTAACAAAAAAAATTGACGAATTAAATTAACAAAAAAAAAATGAGGGAATAGACGAGAAATATTACAGACATTGGCATGAAATTAATCGAGCGATGATGAAAAGTTTCATTGATGGTAGAATAGATTAGGACAATGAGCCAAACCCTTATCCTAGAACAATGCAACGACCACCATTGTTGGAGCTCGATATGACATTGAGAAAAGGATGTGAGATTTGAGAAGTCATCATGAACAACTTGCCATTTTCAGAGCAGAGAGAAAACTCAGAAATTGTCGATAATGACGGCCTACAGAGCAGAAGACGAAGAGGGAGATGAGGAGATCTGAGATGAGAGAGGAGGGAGGAGGGAGGAGGGAGAAAATAGAGGAGAAAGAGAAAGAGGCAGATTACATTAGGGACTTAGCACTTAGGTTTATCCGAATTTCGGAATTTTTGTAAAATAATATTTATTTTTTATTATTTTTTTTTTTTGTAAAAAATATGTTTTTGACTTTTTTTTCGAATATTCGGATATTTTCGGATCGGTTATCTTAAATTTTCGGATCGGATGCGGATTGGAATTTCGAATTTTCGGATTATCAGATAATTTTGCTCAGCCCTAGATCTCGGGACAAGCTAATAGCCTAATACTTGTTGGTAATACAGCCCATTAATGGGTCTTTATTGGGCCTTTAGCTCCTTGAAAAACCTGAATTACTAGCCAGTACAGCTAATGCGGTAAACACAAACTTCGTAGTAACTTGAGAAGTCGGAACAAAACCAAAAGACGATCAAAGCAAACGCCGTTGCTGCCCCTCTCATCCGAGTCGACTCAGCTTCAACTCGCTTGCTCACCTCCTTCTTCTTCCTCTTCTAGGAAGGAATTTTCTAAGTTAGTCGGGTAAACTTGAGTGATGAAATACAAGTTCCTATTTCCAGTACAATAGTGAATAGTCGACACTTCCTTTCTCTCCCATTCCTCAACAATGGCGGTAAACTACATGAAGCTACATAAAAGGGCTGTCTCCCAAACTCCTTTCTTCAACTCCCTCTTCTTTCGTCGCCATTTTTGCGACAAAGTACGAGGTTCCTCACTCGACAACTCCGAGGTTACTGCTCGTGTCACCTCCGCCGCCAAAAACTTCCATAAAGTTGACCCTTCAAAGGTATTATTTTCTATTTATTATCTTATTAATTTCAATTTCAGTTTTTCAATTTTAATTTTGTGATTAATTGATGTAAATTTCGTCGATTGCACTGTTAATTCTTGTATAAAAGCATCAGATTGATTACTCAATTGAATTTTTACTGGCATTATAAGCTTCGGGTTTTGAAGAAAATTAAATTAAATTTGTTTACTTTGGATTTTTATATTGTGCTGTTGAATTTGAAGATTTTAAAATTACAGATCAAAATTAATTCGTTGTTGAGTTCTTATTATGCTATATTTGTTTTGGTTGTTGTATAGGGTAGATTATTGACTGGAGCAACAATAGGTTTAATTATAGCTGGAGGAGCTTATGTTAGTACCGTGGATGAAGCGACATTCTGGTATTTTGTTTCCGATTCATCGTTATTTCGCTATGCAATTTGTGTAGCCATTATTAACATTTTGGTGATTTTAATGTTTGATAAAACTTTAATATTTATTTCTAAGCATTGCTAATATCATCTGCTCGTAGCATGAAAGGAAGGGCAATAGGAAAAAAAGAGCCCTTTGATTTATGGAAGGCAAAACATAGTGTCTTCAACGTTTGGTTAACTTTTCTATCCACAATTTAGTGTACTTTCGTTGAGGCTTTGGGCTTCATAAGTTCATATGATGTTTAGTCTTAGAGACTCTTGATAGGATAATGTCGGCAATGTCGCTTGATTTTTAGTTTAGGTAGCCTTGATTTACGGATCAATTGGCATAGAATAAGGTATCTTCATAGTGACTGATTGACAGTCATAGGAATGTGATAAAGCTTCCCACTTCCCAAGCTCTTTATGGAAAGTAGCTCTTTGAAGTGCTCATATACCAATTATTAACTTTAATGTAATATGCTAACCTCATAGAAAATTGCGCAACATTTGTTGTCATGATTTGCAAAATGGTGGCAAATAAAGAGTGATTTTTTGACAAGAGAACAGTCGGAATTGTGGCAATACAACTTGTAATGTGTAGTTGGATTGTCATGTGTAATTGATAATGAAGGCATTGTGAGTTTGATGATCATGTGGGAGAAGTGAGATTTGATTGATTGATAGTGAAAATCTTTTCTGTTGATGCAAAACCATCTAAGCAACATGTTTCAGTGCAGCCAATCCAAAAGAAGCTAGCATTACATGCAAGGCACCTACAGGACTGACTGAGTTAGTCAAAGCAGCAGAGATGACGGAGTTAGACACTAAAAACTAGTGAGACATGCTTATGACTAGGCAGAATCACCTATCAACCAGAGGCTACTTGAGGAGTGAGATTGTTGTTATTGCTGATCCTGGGTAAAATTAGGAATTTGCAGATTCAACTAAGGTGACAAGACACATATTGATTTTTGAGAGTAATTAACTTATACATTTGGAATTGAGGGTGCTAAGCTTTGACATCCCATTAGGGGACGAAACTCAAGGCTGGCATATTGATTAATAATTTTGTCGTGGCGGAATTCAGAAGAGCCAAAACTCTAAACATATGCAAATCTTTTAATAAAATGGCTCAGTTATTTCTTACCTTTTGGATGGTTTTTTTTTTCTTTTTTCATGGATATTTTCACTTGTTAGTCATGTTGTATTGATATAGTACTGTGCTGCTGCGCTGATCCCCTTCTTTGACAGCCCTCTTAATTTTCTGCTCTCTTTGGCAGTGTAATATAGCATTGCACCCTTTTGTGTAAAATTCCTCGAGTGTTAAGTTTCTTCCCCATTTCCAGAGATTTTAATGATGGTATATTTTAAGAGTTAAGTATGATTGGGATTCATGAGATCATACGGAGTACCATTTAGAAACTAATATTTACGGATTTGCTTCATTCTGCTTCAAGGTGATACTGTTATAACCTAAGAAAAAGGTTATGCTGTTATAGGGACTATATTACAGGCTTTTCATATTTTATCTTTGGTCATTTTGTTTTATTGGTTTCTTTTAGTTTCAAGTTAGTTGCAGGATGGAAATGTTCCCAGGAGTTGGCTCTGTTGAGTGTTGAGAAGTTTACAGAATGATTATCTAACATTGTTGCATTGACAGTGTCAAACAGATTAGGCATTTGGCAAAGCTTGCAGCTTTAACATAATTTACCTTGTCAAACAACATGTGAGTAAGCAACAATATGATTGTAAGGACAGCTAAGTAATTCACGAATCAATCAATAACAGAAACCAAGGTTTTTTTTTTTTTTTTTTTTTTTTTTTTTTTTTTTTTTTTAATTTTTGATTATTTGGTTCAGCAGTCTTCGATGTTGACTCGTGTGGTGGTGATATATGGTTCACGCGATCAAGGTGGATCACAATATCATCTTTGATTGGGAACGAATTGGGCATATCTATCGAGTCAATTTTGAGATTATCCTCCCTATGTTGAACCACCATATGATTGACCTCTGCATGTTGACTTCCACCTGACGCTGAAACTTTGAAGTTGTCTGCTCTCTTAATTGTAATCAGATCAGAAGAACTGTCAGAGGAGATATCTTTATCCAAGACCAGAGTGCTATTGCTTAATTGAATCTTTTCAGCTACCAAATCATTTAAATTACAATCAAAGTTTCTCGATTCAGATAATGTGCTTCTTAAGTCATTAGTTTCCTCAGCTGTGGGCCTCAATGGTAAAGTCTGCACATCCTCAGTTGGAAGTGTTGAATTAGTTTCTAGTGCACCTGTACCTTCTGATTCCTCACCTGCTTCAAAAGTCTCACATTCTGGTGATCCTTCTGCTAACAGCTTATCAAACTCCTCAGACGTTTCATTAATCTGCACATGATTCACAAAATGAACATTATCCCTTTCACTCACATTGAAACACTGCCCATTGCTATTCAAAGACACCTCCTCCAAATTTGCCTGTTCTTGATGATTCAAAATAACAAGGTTATCAGTATTGTCACTTGTTGACATACATGCCACCTTAACAGCATCTTCCCCTATTTTTTCAGTCTGGTGTTCAGTAGAGTACGGAACAACATCCTAATCAAAATGTCTGGTAGATTGCCCATTGTTGTCTATATTGAGCACCATAGTTTCCTTTTTTTTCTTGACTCAAAAATCCATTCAGTCTACTTGCTGTATGAAACAAAACACCTTGAGGTTCAGAAGAAATTGTTCCCAACGGATAATCAACCGCTACAGTATCATCTTTTTGTTCTTCATAATTAAATTGTCCAGGACCCAGAACCCAATTCTCTTGAATTATTTCCCTAACAATCTCTCGAACAGTTTAAAACGAACCCCCAACCTCTTTATAAGTTAAATTCAGAGATGGAAAATTCCCATTATTAGAACTCTGATATCTGCAAACCAGTCAGCAATAATTTTGAAATAGCTAAAATCTAATTCCTCAGCTCATACACTTTAACATATAAAAGAAATGTACCGAAATGTACCCTACTTCAACCAACATATTCCCTAGTCCTTTTATACTTGCAATTGAGTAAAATGTTGTTAGAATTCAAGTCCTTTTATGAGTTATATTGCCAAAGGTATATAATGAAGGGAATTACTGCACAGTGATTGAATTCTTGACATTTTTGTCTGTTAATAAGTGACTCAGACTAGCTTGTCATTATTGTGATTTATTGTCAACAATGTCTCCATAGCTGATTCTTTGGAGAAGTATTATTTCATATCTTTCTAATCCCTCATTATGATAAAAGCTGTATTCTTCTTCTGCAGTGGTTGGTTGTTTTCAGCGACAAAACTTGTGAATCCATTCTTTGCCCTATTAGATCCAGAGGTTGCTCATAGATTGGCTGTCTCAGCTGCTGCTCGTGGATGGGTTCCTAGAGAAAAAAGGCCAGATCCTTCCATTCTAGAGTTGGAAGTCTGGGGAAGAAAGTTCTCCAACCCAATAGGTCTTGCTGCTGGATTTGATAAAAATGCTGAGGCTGTCGAAGGTCTGCTTGGTCTTGGTTATGGCTTCGTAGAAGTTGGGTCTGTTACTCCTGTTCCACAGGAGGGCAATCCAAAGCCTCGTATCTTTAGATTGCGGGAGGAACGGTAATTATAATTTTGAAACAATCTACGTCACATGCTTTTTTTTCATGATTCTAGCCTATCCTTTCTACCTTTGATCCCGCATAAAGAGGTGTATAAGCGTGTGCACACTTTTGGCTGTGTTTGTCTGTTAATTTCTGCATAAGTACATATATAAATATACATTTTACACCGATGTACACCCACATACGCACATGCGCGCTTACATCCTATCAATAATGCCTGTGATAGAATTACAAATTAATTCCAGTGATCAACTGTAGTTTCATTTCATTTGTACGGTTACCTATAATCCAGTGTATCATCACTTTTCCTATGAACAAACAATTAATAATTTGAAAATTCCCCATTTTTGTAAATTGATCTTTTTTTATCTAAAAATATTGGCATATAGTAAGGTGAATCATCTAAAATCTTCTTAGAGGTTATGTTTATATAGAAACCACCCAAAGCTTTAGCAAAGCCTGCCTAGTGTCTATGGATATAAAAAAATGGGAAAGTTGGTTTGGACTCATTTGTCCCCATGTCATCCCTCAGCTAAACCCGTATAACCACAGCCCATAACATCCATCGCTTCTTGTTCAAGCCTCAATTTGAGATGCGCATCGTTAACATTGGTTTGAGGCTGGCAAATTAGGAGAGAGAGCCTGAATAGGAAGCCATAAGCTATGTTAACTTGTTAAGTAATAATAAGACCATGTTGCTGCATGGGTTTCATATAGTTTGTTGGATACATGCAAACATTCTCTCTCTAATATCTTGCATTTGATTGACATATAAACAGTGCTATCATCAATCGCTGTGGTTTTAATAGTGAGGGTATACAAGCTGTTGCTAAACGTTTAGGTGCACAGCACGGCAAGAGGAAGTTAGATGAAAGTTCTAGCACTTCCCCAACTGCTAATGATGGGGGGAAACCAGGAGGAAAGGCTGGCCCAGGAATTCTTGGTGTCAACCTCGGCAAGAATAAGACGAGCGAAGATGCTGCTAACGACTATGTACAAGGAGTGCACACATTATCCCAGTATGCAGACTACCTGGTAGATATTCTTTTGTTTCTTACTTGCTTTATGTTTAATAATTATTGAATTTGTTTCCGTAAAGTAAATTTTAGCTACTGTGAGTCCAAATTTCTTTTAAAGGAGCTATCAAATATTCAGCCTATATAAACATAAATATACAGATTGTGTGTATACCAACTTTGTAATTAGGTGACGTTCAGATTCATCCATTTGCAACAACATAACTAAAACACATGTTTATAAGCATTTATCTAACTAACCTTCGAATATTCTATCAAAAAATTTAAGGAACAAGCTTCAGCTTTCTCAAAAGCATCTTGGTGTTGAATTTTGCACTTTTTGCTATTTACAGTACTTTTTATTTATGGACTGTATCACTGTGATTAATTTTCTTGTATGTTTATAGTAGTCATTAATTCTCCTTGAATAAAGAATGACTAAACTCATACTCCCTCCAATCCTTTTTGTTTGTCCCATTTAAATTTTTGCAAAATTTCCAATGCATATATTACGCAAATTTGTGCAATATAATGGTGAAAAGCTGATATTTTGAAAATACACGTTGATAAGAATCTAACATGATCTCACATGAATGTGTCTTTTGAATAAAGTTTTCTTTTCATATCAAATACTCTAAACAAGTCAAAAAAAAAAAAAAAAAAAAAGAAAAAAGAAAAAAAAAAAAAAAAGAAAAAGAAAAAGAAGAGGGAAGTAGAGTATATATACTACCTCTATTTTTTGGTTCTACTCAATTGTTTTAGATATGTAGGTTAAGCAAATTTTGAAAAAATGTGAGTGAATGTAAAGTGTGTAAGAGAGATTGTAAAAAGGTGGATAGAGGTAATCTAAAGTTGAATAAAGTAAGAAAGAGTGTGAAAAGATTTAATTATTGTGGGTTATGTGGGGTAAGATGGTAAAGGCCTAAAGGGGATATGCCTAAAATAAAATTAAGCAAAGTGGGTAGATCATACAAGGATGAACAAAAATGGAAAATACTTTGAACAAATAAGAATTGGGGGATTATTTATTAAAGATATAAACTTTTATATATATCAATAAAGCTACTTACTAACTTATTTACTGGTTTACTTTGTGATGGGAAGTTGGCCAAATGTTGTTTTGGAATAACCATTACAAGTTTTCTCCAAAAATTTATTTTAATAATTTTAATATGTATTCCTCGTGAAAAATGTCTATACAAGATCTAACTTGAGGAGGCCCTCATCATGGGTTGAACATGTCCAGGGATAATCCATCCTTTTGGCTTCCCTTTAGTTGATGATAAGGAAACATGTAATTGGGTTCCTTTCTGAATTTGCTGGCAACAATATTTTTGGGTGGTTAAGTATTGAGTTTAGCCATTTTTCATCTTAGCTAATTCCCTTTTGTGATCTAAAATTATATTCTTTTTGATAAATGTTTTTTTACAAGATTTTTTTTGCTGTGTTGTGTACTGTTTGTCTATTTGGGTTTAATTTTCTTTTTTCTACATTGTTTCCATACCTATGTCTGTTTTAATGTAATCTAGGTTATGTAGTGTTTTATTTTTAGTCTTTTTTTTTAAATTATGGTTCCAGCTTTCAGATTATATACTCCCTCCATTTTTGTATAGTTGTCGCCCTTGTCAGGCTTTTCCCACTTGGATTTCTACTCTATTCACATAAGCCACTTTGACCTTATTTAGCACATTATCTTGTAAGATGTTGGATTTATTTCAATGTATAATTTTTAGCTTTTTACTAATTTGTAATTAAAGATATTATGATCAAAGTTGTGCATTGGAAAGCTTGAAAGTCAAAGTGAAACAATTACCAAAAACAACTAATCTGTATCACATCAAAATTCTAGTATGACCAATTGTCCATGAGTCTGTATCCGAAGTCCATTATATCTCTGTCAGCTAGTACCAAATGGTTGATATTTCCTAGAATCTAGAGATGCAATTAATCTGTTAGCATTTTTATGTTGGCTTTATAGCAGTTTGAAAATCTCTACCTTTTAAAAAGTATGAGATAACTCTTATGAATAGAGTTTGGACAATTATATCCACTAAAATGCTTGATTACTTATTTGCCCTTATTAATGTTGATTGTCCTTTTATTAAACTCCTCAAAGAATAGTGTGCGGACATTACCCTTAAAATATCTGTTTACATATTTTCCCTCATTAATGTTGTCAACAATTAAGTTTCCGACATATGGTTATACCGAAATAGCTCATCGGACATGACTAGCTATGGCGCTTGCATCGCGCGCGTTAGCCGCCCTAGTAACTGTAAAATTTTGTGAAAATAAGCAATGTATATGGTGGGGGCTCGTCTTGTTGATTGAAGAAAGTTTTTTATTTATTTATTTATTTATTTAATTTTATTTTTTTTAAATCATGTTCCCTTTGTTTGGCCAGTTATCCAATGACCGGGAAGAATTTACTACAAAATTTAATTTGGTGACTTCCTTTATCTGGTGCTTAATTAATTTTTTGTTTGCCCTCTCAAAATGTTGGTACATCATGTTGATTCTCTTGATTCTGTCCCTTATGTCTTCTTTTGTATCAGCTAGAGTAATTTTTTAATTTGTGTTCATGTTTGTGATAGTCATTGGTCCTTATTGCATTTGCATCTATGTAAAATCTTACACTTTGTTCGGATAGAAGGAAATGGAAGGAAAAGAAGTGGAGAAAGGGAGGAGGACATTTTCTCTTGTTTGGGTGAAGTATTGGGGGAAGGAAGGGGAGTGAGAGGGAGGGGTCCATTTTCCCTCTCTCATCGATAAGCATAATCCCTCCAAAATTGGAGAGATTTGGAGGGAAAATGGAGCTCACCTTTCCCCTCCCCTCCCCCCCCCCCCCCTCCTTCCTTTTTTCCTTCCTCCTTTGTTATCCAAACAATGCATTACAGCTTGTTTGGATACAGATTCAAGAAGGAAGGGGAGGGAAGGGAAGAGAAAGGGAAGGGAGGGAGGAAAAAAATTCGCTCCCTTGTTTGGATTAAGGAGAAAAGAAAGGGATGGGAGGGAGGACGAAAAGGAAAAGAACAACCAACAACAACATTGTGCTACTTTGTTCCATTCAACCACCAAATTCCTATTCACAATCAAACCAAAAACCCTTGATTTTTTTTATTCTTCTTAATTATCTTCCTCCATCAGCGCATGATTCCTTCATCTTCAGATCAATCATGGTGAATTACACAATTCTTAAATTCGAGCGAAATTTCGATTTCGGAACAATAATTGAATTCCTTCATCAAAGAGCTTAACGAAAGAGGCAGAGATAGAGTTTGCTTGAAAGCTGGAAGCCATTGATTACGGCGACAATAACAATGGCGAATTGGTGGTGGTAGAAAATTGGAATTAGGGTTAGGAAATTGGGGAAATTAGCGTAGAATTCCAGCAATTGGAGGAGATAAAAAATTTGGGGATTAATTTTTGAAAATAAAAAGGGTAAAATTGTCATTTTAAAAAAAAATCAGGTTGTATAATTAATTTTCCTTCCAAATCTTTTCAAATTTGGAAAGATTTTACTCTTAAGCAATTATTGAAATAATTTCCCCCCATTTCCTTTCCTTCCATTTCCTTCCCCTCCATAATTTACTATCCACAAAGGAAATTGCATCCCTCCCTTTCCCCTCAAATCCCTCAATCCAAACAATGTGTTAGTTACTCTTTATTTATTTATTTATTTTTAATTGGCTGTCACAATAAAATTTAAGTTTTAGCTGATATCACAATATGTTGATGGTCGTGTTAGCTACCCAAATCTGTTTATTGTATGCAATACATAAATCTAAAGTGTCCTTTTTTTAATCAGGTGATCAATGTTTCATCACCAAATACACCTGGACTGCGTCAGCTTCAAGGAAGAAAACAACTTAAGGATCTTGTTAAAAAGGTTTTGTCTTCAGATCCTATGTTTATATCTACACATTGCTTTTACTCTACTAACTATGTTGTGGAAAATATGTAGGTTCAAGCTGCTCGTGATGAAATGCAATGGGGGGATGAAGGTCCACCTCCGTTGCTTGTGAAAATTGCCCCAGACTTGTCTAAACAGGACCTTGAAGACATTGCTGCGGTACCTGTTTGATTGTGAACTGTATGTTCTTTGTTAAGTATCTATATACTATATTAAGATTTTCTATTTCATTCCTTTCCCAGGTTGCGCTTGCTCTCCAAGTAGATGGACTGGTAAGCTTTCTTCTTCATATTAGGTTATCATGCCTTGTCTTACGATAAAATGTTATATTTTCTGGTCTCCATTGTAGATGTAAATTGACTTTTTTTTTTTTATAAATTTCTTGCTTGGATTGAAGAAGGTATACTTAATTCAAGTGGATTGATAGTAGGATAATAGAGTTTGCGAGCAAACAAAATAATGTTTTACTTTTTTTTTTCAAATTGAGTGTAGAAAATGTCCTCCATTTGTGTTAGGATTGGAATTTCTAACTGTATGCTTTCTTATACTATGAGGAATGAGTGGCACAATAGTACATATTTGCATGACTGCATGAGTATTTATAAGACTTGGTTGATAAACTTTGGGAAATTTGATTATGGTAATAGATTGCTCTTAACTTATAATGTGCTACCTAGTACATTCTAAAAAATTGTTTGGTTCTCTGCAGATTATATCAAATACGACTATTTCAAGGCCTGACTCCATCAGCCAGAATCCTCTGTCTCAGGAAGTCGGTGGTTTAAGTGGGAAGCCTTTGTTTGACTTATCAACCAGTGTCTTGAAAGAAATGTATAACTTAACAAGGGTATGGTTACTCCATTCCGAAATCCCTTATTTTATAGCGGGTGTTTTCAACTACAATCGCAAGCCTGCTAACTGCAAGACAACCTTAATGAGATGATTCTTTATTACTTAAAAATTATCTTCACTTCTTTCACAGTATGTAACTTTCTGAAAATTCCCAAGGCACTAACACATGCATAGGCGTAAGGAGAGTGAATTCTTCCACAAATATTGAATGCTTGTTTGTTGTAGCTCATCATATAAATAAGACTATAGTAGTCTGAAGACTGATTGGTTTTATGTATATATCTTGCTATTATTTTATAAATTGCTTCTAACTGTGCATTTGCCTGCTTTCTGATTTCAATTAGTTGATTGGTGATCCAGCACCACCTTCTGTCATCTAACTGTTTATAATATTCCTCATTTCTTGAAATTTTTCTTGTGAGTTGTGAGCATGTTTGGTACTCATCATTTGGAATTTTATGAGGGAGCTTGATTTGAGCTCTCTTTCTAGCTAGTTTTAAAGTTCCCTTATACCAGGAAGCTATATGTTACCTATCGGCTGAGCAGCATAATATCATTTTGGTGAATGAATTTTGGCTTGTTGATTCCTCCATTGCACGAGAAGTCGTCCGAGTGAAAATTTCATCCTGATCAATTTTTTGTGGAATTTTTTTTCCTCCTTTTATTATGCGGATTTTTTTTTTGGAGGGGAAGGGACGCTGTAGACCTGTAGTTGATGGTGGGCTTATGATCATTTTGGCTCCATTAACATGCATTGAGCCCCAATTGCAAACATGCATTGAGCCCCAATTGCAAACATGCAAGCCTATATAGTAATATAGCAGATTAGCAATTATATTAGCTAAGCTTGGTTTTGGGTGTGTAACTTTGGCTATATCCGTTTGTCAAGGAAGACATAACCTATGAGCCGTGTTTTTTAGTATTGCTATGTTTCTTAGGATATTTCTTCCCCAATTTCACCCTTGACAATTGGTTTAACAGAGCTCCTTTTTTTTTTTTTTTTTTTTTTTTTTTTTGTATTTTAATAACAGGGGAAGATTCCTTTGATTGGCTGTGGTGGTGTTGGCAGGTTACATTTTAACTCATAGCAGCGTTACTTCATTAGTATGTTACTGTAGGTAAGATCATATTTAAGCTATAAGCCTTTTGATTGATTTTGCAACTCTGTTGTCTTTAAATCAGTGGAGAAGAGGCGTATAAGAAAATACGTGCTGGAGCTACACTAGTTCAGCTGTACACTGCATTTGCCTATGGAGGACCTGCCCTTATTCCGCGAATAAAGGTATATTATTGCTTTAGCCACCATTATTGGTAGTTCGTGTGCAAATGAGATGCTATCTAGGTGATTGGATGTGAGATCTGTCCTGCTTCAGTAGTGATTATATTAGCTGAAGAGCAGGTCCTTAGTGGGGTGCAACCACGAGGTCACTCTTGCAGTAGTACCATGCTCAGAATATCTTGATGTTAAAATATTCTGTTTCACATTCTTGATGATCTTATCCTTAGGCTGAATTGGCTGAATGCTTGGAGAGGGATGGATACAAGTCGGTCCACGAAGCTGTTGGTGCTGATTGCATTTGAGTTCTGGACAGGCAAATTGAGTGCCATGAGAGTTACCTTAACCTGCTACTAGTGACTTTCTTAAGAGTTCTCAAGGAGAAGCAAGAAAGTTTAGTGAGTCCACGTTGCTGAGATTTGGAAGTCAGCTCTCAGACAAGGGAAAAATTCATCAAGTGATTGATTGAATACACTGCGTATATTAATTTATATTTCCCCCACATTACATGGTTTTTATGCCCTTGCTAAAGGATGTCTGTTGGTTTTCCCTTCAACTTTCATTTTGTTGGGTTTGGGGAGTTTTGCTGCACCCGAGATCTTATAAATGGTTAATTAGATAGGGATGTGAGAAATTTTTTGATGGTAACATGTAATGGTTATTATTACACTGGAACGGTTAGGAATTGTAAAGTTCAGACATACATTTGATTATTTGAAAGTGCTTGGACCATACCTTGTAAGGATTCCCGAAAGAACAAGAACTGCACGTCTTATCTCTGGTGCAATCAAACCTTACAACACATTGTTTGAAAATGGAAGGAGCAAAGAACTCGGTTCCATACGAATTGAACTAGGGGATGAATTTCTGTCATGAAAGTCTTTTCTTGACGTACCTAAGTACGAAAGTGGTAAGTATCTGACTAATTTCATGGTCAACAGATAAGGTAAACTGTCTACTTTGGAATAGACTTGGTAGGAGACTTGGGATTCTATGGCCGACATGCCATGATATTGTCTCCCTTTAATGGCTGACTGTGAACTACTCAGTAAATTAGGGTGGAATATCGTGTTTTGGACACAAGCTAATCAGATAATTTCCAACAGTAAATCATCACATGAAAATCTATGACAAAGCATACTTTGATTTGACTACTAGAGTATTAGTAAACTATGTTAGAATGTAGTCACGTTGTCAAATTATTTTATGCTTTAGGATAGGATTTTTTTGAACCACTGCTGTTTATTTTTTGTGAATAGCTACTATTTTTTTTTAATAACTATTATTATTTGAAAATTTGTTATAATACTTCTCACAAAAAAAAAAAAAAAAAAAAAAAAAAAAAAAAAAATTGTTATATTACCAATTTACTACCATTTAACAGGAATTGTTTAAAAAAATCCGTCTTATAGAACCCACTTGAATCAAACCTTAACCATCATCTACTCCCCTACCTAAATCGAACCCTAACCACCCACCACTTCCCCCACTTGAACCGAACCAGTCACCCACCACTCCCCTACCAGTCTACCTCCACCTCCACCTTTCACCCTAACCCAACTTGAAATCCCACCAGACTCAGACTTATCTAGCCACAACCCCAACCTAAAACCCCACAAGACCACCAACCCTGTAGTCTGTTAGCCGTAAACCAAGACTTACACGGCCACCATCGCAACCCAAAACCCCCCTCCTTCCTCTTCACCTCGACGTACTCCCATTCTCTCTCCTCCCTGCCTTCTGTTGCTATACCCCACCCCACTCACCGCATCACCTCTTCTCTCACCTCCATGTGCCCGAACTTCAACGCCAACAACATAATCAAGATGTCGAAATGGTGTGGGTCTAGTGGGGGGGGTGGTTGGGTGGTTAAGGTGAGGTTCAACCTTTCAGGTGGGGGAGAGTGGTGGGTGGTAAGGGTTTGATTTAGGCAGGGGAGTGGTGAGTGGCTGGTTCGGTTCAAGTATGTGGGAGTGGTTAGGGTTCGGTTCAAGTGGACCCCACAAGACGGATTTTTTTAACAATTATCGTTAAATGGTAGTTGTACTCAAACAAATCTTCAAATAATGATAATTGGTTTTTTTTTTTTTTTTTTTTTTAAAAAAAAAAAAAACGGTAGTTATTCCCAAAAAATCCTATAGGATGTTACATGATGTTGTAGAAAATATCTATACACTTATTGTGTTCTTATTGATTGTAATAGTAGATTATGCACAAAGTTAAGAATAATAAAAACTTTTGTGTACACCGGGTGTATAAGTGTCTAAAGAATAATTTTAGGTTAATTTTTAACTAAATTTGGGTACCTTAACCTGTTTTGGGTTAACTTTAAATTTGATTACCTTCATTCATTAGAATTTGATTTTTACCTTTTAAAAAAGAGCAAATTATTCAATAAAAAATGAGCAACGTTTATTTATATTTGTGTAACTTTTGATCATTTTAGGGTAACTTTACAACTAATATACAATACAATTATACCCTCAATTAACTTTGATTTTGATTGGTTAATGAGAGTACATTTGATTTTTAGTGTTTTAGGAGAAATAATAAAAAAGTGCTGCCATCAAATTTGGTCGAGATATTGTAAAACAGTGGGGCAAGCAAAATTGGTAGAGAGAAATAATAAAACAATGTTGTAAGCAAAATTGGTAGAGAGAAATAAATACTACTTGTATTAACAGTGGTGCAACAGGTAACTTGGAGAAAATTAAGGCAGATACTTGTTGGACATTTAGATCAATTTAGCTAGTTCTAATTGTTACATAATACATACTTGGCAAACATTAAACATGCAAAGATCAAATTACATTATTGGCAGAGACAACAATCCTTTTTACATTCATCAGTAGTTCATGTTGTGAGGCTTCGGCCTTCTTCACTCACCGTTGTAATCTTGTTGCAATGTTTACTTCTTCCTTTTGTCGCAATTGCTTGACTAACCATGCTTAGTAAACAACGGATGATCTCAACCTTAATCCGACCCCTCTTCGGAGGCAATCTCTCCTTTTCTTTATTTGCATCAGGGCTTGCAAGTACCATTGAACCAAAGCTAAGCAGCAAATAAATGTCCTGTAAAGCTAAGAAAGAATTAAACAGGACATTCAACTTTCAAGTAGTGTCAAGAAAGAAATGGCAAAATTAATTTGTAGTATCATATAAATGTATCAATGTAGTGTATATAACAACATTGTGAAGCTCTAAAACTGTAGGCAAGATTGAATGATGTTTGGAATGGTGAGAATATAGGGAGGCAGAGTTGGTGAATGTAGGGTTATAATGTTTCCTAAATCCATTGCATGTTTAGGCAAAAGTTACGACATGAAGAGACTACTTGCACCGTTGCACGTGTGACTTGATCAAATCATAACTCTTTCCATTCTCTTACATTAATCATTTTGAATTTATTATGTACTAACTACCAAGTGAGTAAGACTCAATTTCTTGGTATGATAATGAAATAGTTTGACTTGACTTATACGTATAGCCAAAAAAAAAAAAAAAACCACTTTAATTAGTATTTAAATCTCTAACACAATACTCTCTCCGTTTTTAAATATTTGTTCCACTTCTCCTAAAACGTTCCATTTCTTCATGCGCGGAGTTTTAGGAGTAATTGAAGAAAGTTATAAAATATGGAGGTAGTGGGGTAGAGGAAAGAATAAAAACTTGTAAAAAGCAAAAGTAATAAAATACTCCCTCCGTTTTTTTATTTATTTGCATCACTTGTCTTTTATGGGTGTTTTTTTTATTTGCAACACTTCTATATATAGTAACTTTATACAATATTTTATTATTTTTGTTTCTTACTTTAACCCCCACTCAAATTAACTTATCATTTATCTCTCTCATCGCCCCCACTATTCTTTCACATACTTTCACTTTTATGTCCCCACATTACTTTTACTATAATAAATTATTCTTCTACTCACGTAATTAAATTATAGCAAATTCACTTTCTTAAAACTCCGTGCATCTTCAAGTGATACAAATTAAAAAAAAACGAAAAGAGTATGATTTATGTTAAGTCCACTAGTTTAGAGAAATGAATTAAATATTGTAAAGGATTTTCAAATAAGAAAATGGAGCAAGAATTTAAAAATGGTAGGAAATAGAAAGTGGAGCAACCGAGCAAGTATTTAAAAACGGATGAAGTATATACGATCGCATGAACCCAAAAAAAAAAATCTTTAATATATGAAGTGTCTATTAGAGTATTAGTAAATATCTTTTTTTTTTTTTTTTTTTAACAACTCAATAAGCAAACTAGTAAATATCGTTACTTTGTTTTTAGATGGTTTTTGCATATATAAATGGCAAAAAAACAACTTTAACCATTGTATTATTCTCTCATTATTAACGACATTATTATAATTTATCATAAAAATTAATGGGAAAAGATAATATAATTTGCTTTAATCCAATCCAATGTTACTGTCGTTCGTCTTTTGTTATACTCGTATGATGAAGAACACTTAATGTCTGCTCAAGCTCAACTTGTTTAACGGCCATTTGGGTCAAATTTCGAGAATTTCAAGCTCAAAATAAATTTTACAACTTTTTATACATCCTCTATTTTTTGTTAATGACACGCCCACTTTTTGCAATATTTAAATATTGGTTTTTGACATAATTTTTTATTCATATATGTAGTTGAATTAGACATAATGTATTTTTTCACAATACAATATTATTTTAATTTTTTGTTATAGACTCTATAAAATGTATTCCTCTTTGACCGGACCCGCTATTGACCCGCACCAACCCTGACCCGATCCATCCAATAACCAGGTCTACTACAGATTGAGTATTAGACAATTTATGATATTACGAGTAATGAATAAACTAATGTCTTGACATAGATGAAAATCTCAAGTGTGACACTAAAAAAAACCAAAGAGAATATAATGTTCTTTTTTTTTTTAACGAAATACTGTACTTCGTATACATGTTTAATAAATTTATGAAAAAAATAAGTTTATTCAAAAAGAAAAAAAAATGCTTAATAAGACCTAAATTTAAGGAGGTGAAGTCAAAGTCAGCTCTTAGTCTGAATTAGGGGTGGTTATTGGGCGGGTCGGTGCGGGTCGGTGCGGGTCATTAGCGGGGCGGGTCGGTTGCGGGTCATGATGAATATTTAGCGAGTCATGGTCGGGTCAGGGTCAATGCGGGTCAGGGTCGGGTCAGGGTCGAGGTAAAAGTAAAACGGGCCATTAACGGGCCATTAACTTCTACTAATCTTTAAATAGCATACTAATCTTTAAATGGTATACTAATCTTTAAATAGTATACTTGTGCTCAGACAAAGATATATGCAGGATCAAAGTCTCATAAAAATCTTTCACATCAAAATAAAACCAGAAGTAGAGCCTGTGTAGAGAAAACCAGCACGCCAAAATAAGTTCACCAAGAGTACTAACCCTGTTACATCAATTGTAATATACTAGTTTCTAGATTTACGAAATACTACTAGAATGGTCTAGTTCATTGCCAACATTTTAGCAAATGTTCTCAGATACCACAAAAGAATGAAGCAGCAGTAGGAATGAAACAAGCTCTTTGGCTCTGAGTGCTTCATGAACTCAGAACAGCCTCCAGCAACAGCAGCAGCTACAAAGCACCTCCCAGCCACACCAACACAAGCAACTACAGAACCAAAAAGCCAGCAGCACACAGAAACAAGACCAACTAATCATGCTAGTTTAGTCAATTCTTATACTACTATAATCAAATCAAGCAAAACTCCCAAATTATAATTAAATCATCAGCTTAGTCACATTATATTCATTCAAAGTACTACATATATTAGTAGATA